AGAGCATAAAGCTGTATTAGAACTCTCATCAGGGAAAGCATGATGTACAGGGTAGTGGAGAATCTTCAGAGGAAAAAAAAAAGTAAAGAGTTGATCTGATGAAGTAATTTCATTTGACTAGGGTTCTAACTGACTTTCTGTCAGCTTTCAAGTCAGAAGTAGTAATTTCATATCTTCTGAAGTCTAACAGGAAATGTTAATGGTTAAATGGTAATCGCTTACTTAGATGGTTGATGTTTCCTTTAATTTTGAAGTTGCTTTAAGTTCAGGCTATTTTCTCCAGATATCATTCTGTGTTTTAAAAATGATTTTTGTAATATTGCAAGCTATCTTTTCTGTGGGATCAGCATAATGATCAGGTTTTGCAGGATAGCACAATGGCAGTAGGATACTATGTTAATCTATCAAATAAGAGTTTTATAAACGTAAGAATCTTTTTTTTTTTTTTTTTTTTTAGCAAAAAGCTCCTCTCAATTCTTCTCATTTTCTCGTGTACTAAAGGCTTACAAATACTTCCACTGTATCCATTTTCTCAAGTTGTGCACTCTGATTTGCAGATCCAAGAAGGCCACAGTTGGTTCTGGTTGTTGGCAACATCACTGAATAGTGACAGTGTATATCAGCACGTTATTTCTTAGGCCAAACCTGTGTCCACAACCCAGCATTGCCACAGCTGACGGGTATTCATAGGAGGAGGTCAGGTTCCTTGACCTCCCATACAAACAACTGTTAACATGTAGCATTTAATACGTAATTACACTCTACTGAAAGGCAGAAAGCACTACAGCAGTATATTCTTAATTTCCTCTTATTGACCCTATTCAGGTTGCAATTGCCATTATAAAACCAACCAACATTCATAGAATCACTGAAATTGGGAAAAGCTTCCATGATCATCCAGTCCAATTGTCCACCTACCACCTGTACTCTCCCACTAAACCATGTTGCTTAGTACAACACCTAAACATTTCTTGAACACCTTCAGGGATGGTGCTACACTATCTTTACAGAACTGAAAAGGAGTTTCGAAGTTGGTTAATTCCAGAGCATACGTTTGACCATTTGGAAATCTCACAGTGTGTGATCACTGGTACACTGGTCCTCTTGTATGTGCAGCACAAAAGAACTATTTCCGTCTTCTGCACATATTCTCTCTTCTCTGTTGCATTTGTGGGCAAAAGATCCAGACTGTGAATTTGCATCTGCTCTGGTTCTAATAATGTTATTTGGACATGCGTCTCTTTTATTTGCTTTTCTGGTCAGGCACTGCTGAATCCTGCCTAGGTATAGACTGGCTTGAAGCTTTGATGTTTAATTGAATTGTGTTCATGAGCTTGTTATTACTGGCCAGCATGCTGGAAAATGTGGCCTGACTTCTTGTGATACAAGCTGTTAGAATGACCAAGGCTTTTTGTTTCAATCCTAAACCCACCAAAAAAAAAAAACCTCTGCAAACATATAACATTTGAGAAAATCATAATCAAAGGTCATTTTTTAAATAGAGAAGTGCTCCAAAATTAGGAAATATTGGATATAATAACCTGTGTTATCTTTAGGGTTTGTGCTATGCAATGAGTAAGTCCTGTAGCACTGAAGAATCTCTGGTCCTAAAAGGAGCAATCATCTCAGCGATGTCTCATTTAAAAGAGAGGTGAAGGGCACCAGTGATTTTTATTTATTTATTTATTTATTAACCTTTCTCTACACTCTGGTCCAGCAGCTGAGACAGAGTACTTGAGCAAGTATAGATACAATGTTAATCTGAACCACAAGAACCTACACAGCTCCTGAGGGTAGTAAGGTGGTTTGAAACAGTCTCATTTCTCCGCTGAGAGAGAAATTGCAATGAAAGCCTTGTGTTTTCTTTGCTGAATTTGTAGGAAAGTGATAATAATAAAATATGAGTACATCTGTCTTTGTTTAGAGAGGAAATGAAAGCAAACAGTGTCTAGACGTGGAAGAAGCATTTAACTGATGCTAGCTAACTATAGCTTCAGAAGAAGCTATAATGTTTGCCACTGCTGGCATTATCTCCTTTGGATGTTTTTCCTGCTGCAGGAGCAGATCAGAGAAGCTGCTGCAGACTTCCAGGCTCAGCCAAAGATGTACTGCTGAAAAGGCTGCTCTGCTACAGAAATTGGGTGCCACTGCTCTCAGACTGGCGAAGCCGAAGGGGGCTTGGCACTATTTCATTTCAGGCATTAGGATGCTTGAAGAAAATGATACTTTGTCATTTTGTAACTGGGAGTGCTTTTATATCATATTGATTTTATTTCATTGCCTTTAGCTTTTCTATTCTCTCTGAGTATAACAACAGAGTCATAATTCTTAAAATATACACAGTTATAGGTTATGCATAACTGAACTCTGGAAAGCAATCCCAATCTCTTCCTGGGCGGTGGGCAGTGCACAGCTGTGTCCAGTCCTGTGGAAAGGCTGAGAGTGATGCTACTGAGAACAGCAGGGCAGCAACAGCTCATCACTTGGTCAGGGGCTTATTTTCCACACCAGCTGTTGCAAAAAGCTTCAGCAATAGCAGGCGAATCTTGAGATGCGCTTATAGGTTTTGTTTAAGTCTGGTGTTTGCAGTGTGAGGAGTAACAGTCGCAGTGCATGGAGAGAGAACTAAGTGCTCTCAGGTACTCGCCCTTTATGCCTATGGTCCACACATAAGAATTGCTTTACTAGATCAAGTGAAGCATAATTAGTGACACCAAGCAGAGCTAGCTTTCCAAAGGTGCTTGCCTGTGTACTTTTTGTCCCTAGCTACTATGAGAAGCTGGCTGCTGCATGCCCACAAATTGGGAAGGCATTGAGAGGACTTAAATGAGAAGGACAGGCAAATGAGTACTACCAATACAAATGCTAGAGGAGCTCCTTGGTTTAGAGCAAGGACTTAGAAAATTGCTTTTGTTCACCAGGACATCTTGTCTTTAATCCTGTGTGGAAACAGTGATGTTACTCCAGAGCAGCCTACAGTGTGAACGCAGATGGGGCCTCCTCCATCTTTACAGGAGCTAAGGCAAGAAGCTGTGGCCTGCACAGTAGATCTGCTGGAGTGGACTGCTGGAGATGGATGGCACAGGCAGTCTGTAGGCATGGGGTAGCAGTGATACAGGCAGCTTTTCACACTCATTCATGGAGCAGCTCAGAACTGGATTGAAATCAGTTATGCTGCACTCTCTTGAGAGAAAGACAGCACTGAGACCTCTCTGTATTCATTCAGAAGTATCTTTTCTGATTATAAGGTACACTATGAGGTAGGTCTGCAGTGCATAGACCCAACGAGGACACAGAGCTTCTGACTCACAGATTATTTCCTTTGTTTACAGAATGAAGTAATAAAATCCCTCTCCCGACTGATAAGATTAAAAACAGTTCATCTGATTAGAGTATCACCATGGATTTTATCTTTTTGTTCAAAACCGATGCTACAGAAATGTACTAAGTGTATAATCATAACATTAAAATCCTAGCTTTTTAAATTTACCTTGTTTAATGACAGTCCTCAGCTATACAACCTAAAAGACAAAAAGAAGATGTGGAGGGAAGGTTCATTTTCAGCTGTAGTATATTACTATTTTCCTTATGACGTTGGCCATAAATGGATGTTTGTTAACAGCAAGTGCAAGTATTATTGCCAGTCTCCAAGACAGTGGTAGTACCAGGAATAAGAAATAAATCAGAGACAACCAGAAATGAGGGCAAATTGTCCCAAATGAATTATACAATTGTATAAATTAAACCAAAAATGAAAAGCACATCTGACTAAACAATGTCTTTTTATGTCAACCTGCCAGTTTAGCAGCTGCAAAATGTATTATAATGTATAGCATAGATTCAAGTTCTTCAGCCAGAGTGTTCTCTTCACAGGAGTTTTGACTTACTGCTGTGATGTCAGTTTGCTTTAGAAAAATCCCACTTCACTGGACAAGGACCAACTCTAGAAGTATCTGGATGTACTTGGTTCTACCTTTGTTATACATTTCCACAGCTTGAAACATAAAACTTCCTCTTGGAAAGCTACATCTCTTGAATTAGAGCTGGCACATTTTCATGTGTCTATTATTCTGTTCCACAATCCCCAGACCCAAAGGCCCCCTAACCTATCAAAATATTTTATGCTCTTAAACCGTGCTTGCCAAAATGCAGTAATACTGGCAATCTTTAAACCAGCGAAGACCACTGGAAAGCTTATTTTCAGTCTATCCTTATTCTCATTCCTTCCATACAGTCTTCTGGCACAGCAATTGAGCTCCTCTGGCTGTTCTCAGGCAGGAGAATAAGAACACTCACTATGGTGCCTGAAAGGGGAGGAAGACGGTAGCAGATAATACTGAGCACGTGTGTAGAATGCTGTAATTGTTACAAGTGCTGCAAAACATGTAAATGGATGTTGAAAAGTATTTGGTGATTTTGTGGGCTTAAGTAGCAACACCTTTGAAATACTGAATATTATGCAACAGACTATTATTCTAGAAATAAGCGATGACTGAAATGATACTGGAAAGCAACACTTAGTATCAGTTTGTTTAGATTGTGAGAAAGTATCTCTTCTGCTCCCAAATCTATTCTTTGTGCTTATCTTTCTTGAACCTGTTTTCACAGAGAAAAGAAAAATGTAAGCAAAGGGGTGTTGGGAAAAGATATCATTCTGTATTGTAACTAAAGTGGCCTGTTGAAGACAAGTTTCACTTCACAATGTCACACTAAATTGAGGTACATCAAATCTGTTGAGAACTCAGGCATACTGACATCTCAGTATTTAGTATTGTATTATTTCTGTTACAGGCAGGATTGGGTGACAAGATGCTGTCAGACTTACCTTGCACCAGTTCTAGTCTAGAAAAATAGAAAAAAACATGGTTTATACAGAGGAAACAGTCATTGTTCCTATTGTCACATTTTTCAGAGTGTGTGTAGTTTTATCAATAAAAGATTGATTGTCTAGAATACAAACAAAATGATGATTCTGAAAAAAAAGTTTTTACAATAGAGAAAGAATCAAATGGCCTTTTAACAACCACTTTGGAATAAATCTCAGAGTAGCACCTGAAAAATGGCATGAATTGATAGATGTTTTCTTGTTTGTTTGACTCCAGAATTAGAAGAAAATACTTCATATAATGCATTCTATGACCATATTTTAATTGTTAGCACACAGCATTGTCTGGAAACAACATCATACATACAGCTATATTCGTATACAATGTGTACAAAAGCACAGTAACAAAGTCTTTCAAAATGTGCATATTGTATTAGCTACATGCCTAGCAAAGTTCCAGACAGATTAAGCAATTCCCCAACACCAAACTACTGGAGTTCGCAAGGTGGCATACACATTTAAGGTTACTTACTCAAAACAGATTTTGAGTTTTAGCCCCAGGAAAATAATGCTGAATTCCTGCCAAGAAGGTGTTATAGCCTACCTGGGAGTACCTTCCCCGTAAAATTAAAAAGAACAGGTTTCAGCTTGTAGTTCTGCCAGAAGGCACCCTAACACTGTCTGTACCATACATAGAAATTTAAGAGAGTGAGTAAAAGGAGTATAAATCAAACATAATCATCAAATCTTACTAAAAATTAGATTGATATTTTTCTTGTAGGATTTCTGTAGCATCTAGAGAAGTCTGTATGACACAAATGCCTTTAGGGGATATAAATACATGGATTTGAAGTCCTATAAAATGCTACACTGTACAGAGATTGCCAAATAAAATGAGGCAGGGAACCAGAAAAAAATGCAAAAATACACCAGAAACTTGATCATGGCTATTAATCACCACTGAGAAAGGAAGGCTTTATGATTTTTTGTTTTATGGGTGCAAAATATCTGGGGCTAAAAATAATTCAAGACTGATCAGAAGAGAGAAACTGGAAACTGTCTGGCATCCAGAAATTAGTGGCATAAAGTTTAAGAGAAGATATGAGAACGCATAACCTCATGCAGATTTAAGGCATGTGGGAAGAGTAGAAGAAATGGAGACAAAGGGAGGATGAAATAATATTAGGCAGTTATGGATGGCAAATTCCTTAACTATTCCTGAGAGATTTATAGAATCGTGTCAACCTGCTATTTCATGTGAAGTGTCCCAGAAAGCCTCTAAAATCACTGAGCTACCACAGTTAGCTACATACTGCCTGCCCTAGCTACAACAGTTACATACCATAGGTCTTACCAGCTTAAACCATATACAGATTACACCAAGATAACATCTCGGTGCTTTAAGGATAGTGGCTGAAGATGTCTAGCCTTAAAGATAAGGGTCCAGGAAAGAATTCTTGAACTTCAGTTGGTTCCACAGAATTACAAATAAAACATTAATAGCAAGTGCTCTAATGAGGACAAAACGAACAGTAGGCTGCTATACTGCATTAATACATCAGTTTTTGAATTTCTGAGACTTGCAATTAATCCTGAAAGCCAAACAAAACTTCAGTTGTCCCTTCTACTATTCATTTTATAGAAGTTGCTGAAGAAGTGTAGGTTATAGTGCTATAACAAAGAAAGATCTGTGTTGGAGCAGTTCCAACCCCTTGAAAGGAAGAGTTATTAGAAATCATACTTGGTTCATGAACTGGACCTAAGAAATATTTTCAGAAAGTACCATTGCACTCCACTACCATTCCTTCTCATAAGACAGGCATGGAGAATAATTACTGGTCTGACAGCACATACCTGTATAAGGGGGCAATCAGATTCTACCCCATCAATCTGCTCTTTGAACAAGAGCTAATGCAGCCAAACTGATAGAATTCTAGAGTGGTTTGGGTTGAAAGAAACCTTGAAGATCATCTATTTTCAGTGAGCAAGGTTGATACCCACTGAATCAGATTGTCCAGGGAACAGTTTAGAAACTTTTAGATTGATACCCTTACGTGAGTTTATGCAGCAACAAACTTCAGTCTACTTGGCTACTTGTTTTGAACCATGAACAAATTCAACCAAAAAAAAAAAAAAAAAAAAAAAAAAAAAAACCTAGAAAAATAGTCTTAAAATTAAATGTGAACTTTTAAAGTTGATCCACTTTTGCCATTATGGTTTAAAGAGCAGCTTCACAAACCTTTTGAAATATATTCCCAGAAAGAACTATGAATGAAAAGAGAGAGCAGTAAACTGCCCTGCAAGATGTGTACTGGACAGGACAGTAATGGGCAATCACAGTCTCCCTCACTGCTCCCTGCTATTTCAGTCCTAGCTCTACTCTGGCCAAGTACTTCGAAACTGCACTCTTGGGAATACTGCTGAAGAACTACTCTTTCCACAGCCACCAAATGGTGTGGATTGACCAAGGAACTGGACTGTTTCACACACAAGAAAAATTGTAAATCCTTATAGGCCTCCTAGCTAGAGTTTTCTGAAGTTCATTGATTATTTATTCACAAGAGTTTACAGGAAAAGAAGTGAGATTTTTGACAGTACTGAGTATTTAGACTTGTAAACTGCATGTGCAAGAGGACTGAGCAAACAGTGCTAGCTGTTAGTTATGTTTCATTTCTTAGGCACAATATCAGAGTAGAGCTTTTTTGATCCCATGGGCTGGATGATCGTTAGTGGTCCAGTACGTTTCTGCAGGGCATCCTTCAGTCTGGTTTTGCCTGAAAGTGATCTGGGCTCTATATTATGAGACTACTCTGAGAGGCAGATTGAAACCAGGAAAGAGATAATGACTTTAAAAGAGTACCTCTGGTCCCAGCTCTAACGCTAGTACAGACACTCACTTGAGTACCTAGATTCCTGGTTATAACAATCCGAAATTAGACTGGGACCCCAAGCCAGTAAGTATCTGAGGAATCTTATTATTGCTTTTTAATTTTAATATTCTTTAATTTTGTGGTAGCAGAATTGAATTTTAGCAGATAAACTTATGACTTCTAAATAGTAAACAAATGACCCTAAAACTCTCATCCATGTGTCTGTGAATAATCAAGATAGATTTAAATGAGATAGAGAGCTAGCATTTGATATATTACTATATTTTATCTGAAACTGGAGTCTATGCCTTTGAATAACTCCTTAATTGGTCCAAAAAATGCCTACAAGACTTAATGAGAAATACTTGTATAGACTACACAGCTAAAATCATGCAAAAATCTATTAGATATATGCCTGGATTAATATTCACTTGAAAATATTTTTGTGATCAGAAGATCTATTGTTTTTCAAGCATTATGTGAACTATACTAATTTTCACACCTTTATGTTTTTCCTATATGTTAAGTATATGCCAACATCTTCTTTAACACATGCTGTGAAGCCAGACAGCTTTGGCTTCTGAAAACAATGCACTTTTTACTTCTGTCTAACATTAAAACTGAGGTGAAACAATCTCATACTAGACAGACTTTAATAGATTCCCTGTTCAGACAGTCTAAGCAATGGGAGCCAAAACTGAGTTACAAACTGCAAAAAAAATTTCAGTTTTGTTCTGTAGTCAAAAATCATACCTACTAAATCATAATGACATTTCTTGTTTCAAGTTTTGCCCATTCAGTTGTGTCACACTAGTCACTGTGTTCCTGGTATTACTTTTCAGGGAAGTTGTCTGAATGGCAGAAGAGTTGCGCAAGTAACTGGCAGATCTCTCTTGTTGAGATTTCTTCCCACAGCGAAGCTGGTTGTTGAAATGTCTTCTGAAACTCTCACTGAGCAAATACAGTGCAAATGGATTGACACAAGAGTTGCAGAAGCTTAGCACTCGGGCCACTAAGGTAACAACCATATGCCCTATTGACGAATCAATCTCATTGTAATTAAAAGACCGGTACATGTATAGCACATGGTTGGGGAACCAACAGATAGCAAAGAAGCCAACAAAAACTAGAACAATTTTTGCCAGACGTTTCCGAGTTTCCATCTAAAAAGATGAAGAGAACTCAAATCAACAACAGTGAAAAAAACTACTTCACATAACATACAGTTAAAACATGCAGCATTTCACTTTATATTAAGAATTATCATAAGGCCAGTAATATACTGAATTATTTTTTGTTTCATTTACTTTCCCACTTTCAGTTTACATACAGTGAAAAATCTTATCTGTTTGTGCTTACAGAAGGTTACTCTTTCTATCTGAAGAAAGATAATTTCATGACCCTAGTATGTACTGGCACATCACCTCAAAGCATGCACCAAACGATGCTATGAGACACATCTTGGCTTGAAACTTAGCTTTAGTTAGAAGTTATTTTAAAACTGTTGGTTTGAAGTGAAGAAACATTGCAAGTCTGACACCTAGGGTTTTAGCCGTAAAATAGTACTTATGTACTGTTATTTTGTCTGAAGTGCCTCAGGCTTGCACCTCTCTCCAATGGAAACCAGCAAAATAGGTGTATTACACAGTCTGAAGCATCTTAATTCCAAAGTAAGTTGAAAGGCTTCATCAGTCTTCAATAATAACTTGAAAGAAATAATGACTTTTTTTGCAGTACTAAAGTGTGATTGGATTACAATGTAGATATTCAGAATGGGTGAAGAGTTGAAAGGAAATGAGCACATACAGTGGTCCCAAAACTGAGAAATGGAGACAAACTGGCCAATTGACAGGTACAAAATGGAGGTAGAAGCTTTCTAAATACTCCTTCCAAAAGATTTATTGTTTGTGGCATGTACCAAAGTTTCACAGAGGCAGGAAGTTTTTCTGGCTTTGCTTAACTTACTATTAAATTTGAAAAAATAAAAAGCAAGTGATTTTTTTTTTCTAACAGATTTTCAAAATCCATGAAATAGATCTGCAAGTGGAATTTTCTGAGCTCAATCTGAGCAAAGAACAGTTGAGGTTTCACAGAAGATGGGAAAGCTGTACCATTGCAATTCGGTATGATTTGCACTGGGCCAGATAGCAGTAGCAAAGTAAAAGGTACAGAGGCATTGTGTGAATATCATACTTTCGTGCTATAGCATAAAGAAACCTGGACTGATAGCAGTAATCTGAATTTACTTATTCTTGCTGGGAGATATGTGAGTACACTAGATGTTTCTACTCTTCTGAGTCCCATAGATTAAACAAAAAATACCTAAGTAGAATGAAAAAAAAATGTCCTAATTTGAAAATACGTGTAGGTTCGGAAATTTGATATAAATTAAATATTGTTTCCATCCTGTGAGTTCAGCCAAAAGGCTCTCAATATTTCACAGAAAATAACATAGTACATGAAGTGCTAATATGCATGCATTTTTACAAGAAACAGACTAGAGTGGAAATGAAATGTTGAGCTAAGAGGACATGAGGGAATGGGGTCTTTCTTTCAGAAAGAATGTGTATGTTCTGTCTCAGCAAAGAGATTTCTGTGAGCACAAAGATATTTTCTACAGCATTGGCAGAAAAAATCTAAATTATTTTCATGGGCATAAGTAGTTTTCTCTATCAACACTAACGCATTTTCAAAGTGGTTAAGGCATTTTCATGGCAAATGCTGAGGTTGGCATATAAACAATTGTGTTAATGAACAGCCACTTGTTATCGTATGGTTTAAAAGGCCTTATAGTGAAGTTGGCTATTAAAATGTATTGTCTGAAAGGTATACAGAATCTATACTGAAAATTCTATAGCAAGTACAACAGAAAGATTGTTAAGAAAAGTTCAGTTGTAAATTCAGGATTGCATCCAAGAAAGATCTACTCAGAAGGCCAAAAAAGTTCACTTATTGCTTTCTCTTGACATTTTCATCATTCTTCGGCCTGAGAAGAGCTTCCAACCCTTTAAGAAATTTACCTTCCTGTGTCAATATTTTTCATTTCTGAGCAGAAACAGAGACAATTGTAAAAGAAAAATAATAATAATAATAATAATTTAAAAAAAAAAAAAAAACATGTAAAACCTCCTGTTGGTAGCATACAGTGAGAGGTGAAGTCAGTAAGACTGCAAACAGTAGTTACACTAGCTACACATACATACACCAAATCTATTTCTTTCATGAATATGTCTTGATGATATTGAACTTATATTTTCCTTCGTATTCATTTACATACTGGATTTAATACTGAGTAATTATTACAGCAAAGACATTTTTCAGATAATTGTATACTTAGTTCATGCATGTAGAATCTGAGCTTGATTCTCTGTGTAATCTAGTAACTTTGATGTTACATTTTTTGTTCTTTCATTTATAAGTGCACGCAGCACATAATGTTTCAATGGGAAGTAAACATCAAATTGCTCACCTGTCGTTTTGAGTGCTCACTATTTTCTCCAGGGATATTATGGGCACTTCTTATTAAACTCTTTGCAATATGATAGTAGTAGATACTAATAATGGCAAGAGGGATAAGGAAGTACACTAGGAAAATGAGCACAGAATGGATCTTTGGGTGCATGTCATCCGTCATGGGGTATGGTATGCATGCTGTGAAAGTGGCATTATCTGTGTCATTGATGTGGGCGAGTTCGGAGAACACTGCTTCAGGAACTGATAGGAGTATGGAGATTATCCAAATGGCAATGGCTTTTGCACAGGTCCGTAGCACTGCACTGGAGGCCTGAATGTCCATGGGCTTTACAATTGCTTTGTACCTGAAAGTGATAAAAATGCAGTTACATACTAAAAGGTATCTCTTCATGCAATGATTTAGGCTACTTCATACTTTTGATCAAAATAATGTCTTTTTTTTTTTTTTTTTTTTCTTTTTTGAACCAACATAGGGTTTCTGTAATCTTTATCAGATTTCCATTTTCTAAATCTCTGGTCTTTCACTGCATACACAGCCATCAGAGGTGGCAAAAGGAGTTGCAGAGAAGTTGCAATCTGTCACCCATTCTATGCCAGCCAGGTGAAAACACAGAAGCCACTACCACTCTGTTCTTCCTTGTCCCATATCCTCCCAGCAATCCCCCAATGCACATCCAGCCTCAGTACTTCCATCCCACTCTCATACCGGCACATTCATGCTACAACTTGTTTTTTTCCTTATCTCTTCCTTCCTGTCACTGCCTCTCATTTCCACTTGCAGATGCAATGCCATCCCACCAGCTGCTTGCCTTTACTCCTTAGCTCCATTGTATACACAGATATACTGTCCCAGCTGCAACACTCAAAACATATATATATTTTTTTTTTTATAGAGCCAAACAAGAATGACTGCCAAGAGCCTATCCAGAAGTATTAAACTCTTAAATAACATAAGAATGTTCACATAAACAGTTGGAAGCTGCCGCTTCCGCATTTTGGGAAACTGTCCCATAATAAATGATTATAGATAAACTTTTGCAATATTAATAATTTCATGACCATTACAGTGAAAACAGGAAATGTTACAGAGAATGGAAAAATCACTCCAGGAAAGCTGACAAAAGAACAGAAGGAGATTCTGGTCAGGAATTTTTCTATTAAAAAAAAAAAATAGTTGCATAAGTTGATACCCAGGGAGACTTCTTAAAAGAAAAGGTTAATTTTAAAACACTAAAATACACTTTGAAAGAAATATTTCAAAGCTGCCTTAATGCTTTGATTAACTTTATGATTCTTTATGATATTACTTTTCAAGAAGTATGTTTTTACGCTTTTATTAAAACTGAGCATTTAGTAAAACATTTCAATTTGACTAAACTATGGAAATTTGGACGGCTGCTTTTTCTGATGCCTTTTTTTTCCCTTCCTCATTTTTTTCTTGTCTTAATTTGATTTTATGTTCTTGAAATAGCAGAATTTTCAAGAAATGGAGAAATTATTTTTACTTACCAAGAAAAGAGAAGTTTAACATGAGTGAAGAGGGATTCATATTCCAGGTACCTAACTTTATTCCTCTTAAGCTCCTTCTAGTCAGCAATGTACTTTCAAGCAGTAATTCAGCATCTTTGTATATTAAAATACCCTTTTAGGTGCTTCTTTTTCTCTTAAATCTGTTCACTGAGCTTTCAATGAGAAGAGCTGTAAGTTAGATGTCTCCACCCAGTGATTGAACTCCTTATCCACACTTCTAGGTACACATACACTTGTAGATGCATACACAAAAACAAACATACATTAATATGAACAGTTCTCTAAATACTGTCAAGTGGTTAGGCTGTGGCTAAGGTTGTGGCATAATGCATTTGCTGCAGGCAAATGGAACTGCAATCCCAAGTACACTTTATGACTGATCTGTAGGTCCTGACACTACTTAATAATCCTCAACATGTCAAGCAAAGGTTTGGAGAACTGTGGGTTGAAGCTATATACCTATGCCCTGCCTTGTGTGTTTACTTAAGCCTTCAGTTGAATTGACAATGCCATGGAAATGTCTGGCACGGAGTACTGTCTTGGTACCTGAGAAAATCTTTTTTTAGGGAATGTCTGAGTTAAAATGTGTCTTGGAGATTACTCTTTCTCATGACTGTGATAAACTTACCATTAAGTAGTTATAAATTATGGCTATTTATGGTCATATTCTCTCTGAATTCAGAAAGGATTTTTACTGTGTCTTCACTTATATCATGGAGTAGGAAATTGAACTGTTTCTGTTAATTTGTTTATTATTTCTTCTAACACAAAACAAAGATCTCCCACTACACAAATGTGTAAAGAAATCCTTTATACTGTCATAGCAACTTCTGCGTAAAGCATGAAGGCTTCCCAGCACAAGCTGTGACCTTATTAGTCAATAATGCACTTCCTATTGCTGTCTGCCTTGATTTCATTACATGAAGACAGACCTTCTATCTCATTTCATTCAACTGAGGTGACGTCAAGTCTTTGCATCTGCTCATTTCTTTAAAACTCTATATTGCTGCAGAAGGGCTGATATGGGGACTTAGAGGGTATTGAATAAAGAAAGCATATATTTTGTACTCTTAATATTTTTTTCTGTATTTTTGTATTGCAGTGCTTTGCCGAATCACAGAGTCATGGAATATGCACAGTTGGAAGGCACCCAGAATGACTACACAGCTCAACCCAACTCCTGGCTGCATACAGAACCACCCAAAATTCAAACACTGTGTCTGAGAGCATTGTCCAAACCACTCCTAGAACTCCATCGCCTTGGTGCTGTGCCCACTGCCCTGGGCAGCCTGCAGCCTGTTTCATGTCTGCCGCCCTTCAGGTAGAGACCCTTTCCCTAACTCCAACCTGTCCCTCCCCTGACTCAGCTCCACGCCGTTCCCTCGGGCCCTGTCGCTGTCAAAGAGAGCAGAGCTCAGCGCTGCCCCTCTACTCCCTGTGAGGAGCTGCAGTCGCCATGAGCCGCCCCCTGCCCCCCAGCTCCTCTGCTCGGTGCTTGGGGCTGAACTAAACGAGGGACCTCAACTGCTCCACATGAGGCAGCAACCTTGTCATAATTCATTGCTTAAGCAGTATTTGGTTCTGTTAATATCTACACTGGAGACGTTTTCAGAAGCTTTTACATTCCCAAAAAAGGTGGCATATATTCGTACTTTGACACATATTGCTGACCTATGACTAAGTCCAAATTTGAGGTCTTTCAAGCAGAGGGCCTTTTTTCCACAAGAGAAGAAAAAAAGTAATAGCTGGGTTCAGCCCAAAAAATTTCAGCATTGTCCTTCAGTTGAATACGAGATGGCATTCTTCCAAGATCTCAGTAGTCTGTGTCAACGGGAAGGAGAAAGCACTAAGCAATTTACAAAATCTGTCATGTTGTTTATATATCTGCAAAGACATAGAGACAGGTTACAGATAAAATCAAATGCAAACTAGGCGAACTCAGAAGTATTCCCAAAATGAATATCCAGCTTCTTCCTTTGGATAAAACTTATGTAAGGCTAAAATATATCACCAACCATTCAGATTACAAATTGTGTATTTTTTTATAAATTAAACAACATTGGTAAATCAGAGTAAGAAGCAAATTATTTAGGTAAATTATTTAAAAAATTCCATCTTTTCCTTTCCTTCACTATTGAAAAAATAAAATAATGGGTTCTCAGGAAGATCAGGAAATAATTATACGTATGTATTTGACTTTAATTAATTCCTTCACGTAAATTCTATCACTCTACTCTGTCATTATCACTGCTGACAAAAGCATCTCAGCTCTTGAAATATTTTTATAGTAAGTTTCCTTACTTTGTAGTTACCAGTGGACACAAGCAAAAACTTGCCTATTCTGCAGATATTAGTTTTGTTTATATAGAGCATAAATGTCCAACCTGCTACTTTTATGTTTTTGTTGCCCTCTTTTTTTTAGTATTTTAATTTTTTAAAAAATTGTCTTGTTATTTAAATACATAAACTTTATTTGTATATTTTATATGCATCCCAAAACAATTCCTTTTCACTCAATGTAGCCCTGACAAGCCAAAAGGTTGGACACCCATGTTATTGAGTGTTTTAATTACAAAGCAATCTCCTCCTGTACCCAAAATAACCATGAAAGAAAGAATATGTTCTTCTTGAGTTATAACATTTTGCAGCCTTATAAATTATCAAATGCCTTCTTAAATGCATGTCTCAGTTCTCAATTAGTATGTAAATTTAATTGGGAAAGCAACTTTCTCTGCTGAATCCATTGTGCTATTTCCCTCCCATGAACTTGACTTCAAAAGAAGCCGCTTCATGGTTCATCGTAAGTGGTTCCTCTGTTATACTCCTACCTCTTTCTCTAGAGTACTTTGTGCTGATGCCCTTCAAAACCAAATTAGAAAGAATAAGAAAAAAAAAAACAACCCAAAGACAATAATTAAGAAGCCACTGATCAGTGATTACAGCCTATCATACTACCCAGGGTTGCAGTAATCCTACAAAGGGAACTGAAAGCTCCTGGGAAAGGCTAAATACTTCATCCTTCCTATTTATTTTATTTTTTTTTTTTGCAGTTCATAAAACTTTTAAATCAAAATGTAAAAGGTCAGATATTTTGAAAAGGATAATATGAGTAAATCTGAATACAAAACAGTATCTGTTGGTTTACTGGCGCATTTTGAATATCTCCAGAGAAGGAGATTCCACAACCTTATCAGGCAACTTGTTTCAGTGCTCTGTCACCCTCGCAGTAAAGAAGTTCTTTTGCAAGTGTGTATAGAACTTATGTTCCATTTTTTCCCCATTGCCTCTTGTTGCTACACACCACTAAAGAGTCAGGTCCCATCCATTTGACTTCTGTACTTTAGATATTAATAAACATTGATCAGATTTCCCCTCAAATCTTCTCCAAGATGAACACTCTCAGGTTTCTCAACTTTTTCCCTTAAGGGAGATGATCCATGCCTTTAATCATCTTTGTGGTCCTCTTGCTGGGGAGATTTTTTTATTTTTATTTTTTAAACTGAGGAACCCAAAACTGGACCCAGTGTTCCAGATATGGCCTCAACAGGGCAGAGTAGAGAGAGAATAAATTCCATCAGCCTGCTGGCCATGTTCTTTTTCATGCACCCCAGTATACCCCTGTATATTTATACATAAGGAAGAACTTTTTCTCTCAGAGAGTGGTCAGGCACTGGAATGGCCTGCCCAGAGAGGTGGTGGAGTTGCCATCCCTGGCAGTGTTCAAGAGGCATCTGGATGATGTGCTGCGTGATATGGTTTAGTGCTAGTGGTGGCAATGGTGATGAGGAGACAGTTGGACTAGATGATCTTTTTAGGTCATTTCCAACGTTGTGATTCTATGATTCTATGATTCTATACTATTGGCCTTCTTGGCCACAAGAGCACACTGCTGGCTCATGGCCAACCTGTTGTCCAGCAGAACACCCAGGTTCTTCCCTGCAGAGCTCTTCTCCAGTAGATCAGCCCCTAACTTGTACTGATGTATGTAGTTATTCCTCCTCAGGTATGGGACTCTACATTTGCTCTTGTTGAACTTCATCAGGTTCATGTTTGCCCAACTCTCCAGCCTGTCCATGTCATGCTGAATGACAGCTCAGCATTCTGGTGTGTCAGCTACTCCTGCCAGATTTCTATCATCAGCATACTTGCTGAAGTGGACTCTATCCCTTTTGCCCAGGTCATTGATGAAGATGTTGAACAAGACCGGACCCAATTCTGTCCAATGGGGAGCACCATTAGCTACAGGCCTAGAACTAGACTCTGTACCACTGAGGTCTAATCTGGTTTTCAATTCAGCTCACTGTCCACTCATCTATCCACACTTTCTAAGGTTCACTGCAAGGATTTTGAGGGAGACAGTCTCAAAAGCCTCGTTAAAATCAAGGCACACAACATTCACTGCTTCCCCACCTCTACCCAACTGGTGAAGATATCATGGAAGGCTACCAGGTTTGTCAAGCATGATTTCCCTTCGATAGATCCATGTTGACAACTCTTGATAGGCTTCTCTTCCAATTGCTTCGAGGTGGCATCCAAAACAAGTTGTTCCATCATCTGGGAATGGGAAAGGGATGGAGGTAAGGCTGGCTAGCCTGTAGTTTCCCAGATCCTCCTTCTTGCCGTTTTTGAAGACTGGTGTGACATTGGCTATCTTACAGTCTTCAGACACCTCTCCCATTCTCCAAGACCTCTCAAAGATGACAGAGAGTGCTTTGGTAATCACTTCTGCCAGCTCCCTCAGTACACATGGGTGCATCCCATTGAGGTCAATAATATCTGAATAAAAAGTCTGATCTAGCATTTTTAAGTGACTTCCCCAACCAGAAAAGAATGAAAGTAGATTGTAAATCTAGAGTATTGATTATTAGATTGTAAATCTAAAGTATTGTTGTGCTGCCGGCGGGCAGGGCTGGCGGCTGCGGGAGCCTCGGGTCGCGGCGCTGCCCCCTTCGAGGAGCCCCGGCCGGGATTATGGATGGTAGCAAATGCCTTATGGGGGTGGTTACAGCAGTGGGAGCAAAATAACTGGCAAAGAAAGGGCAAGCCTATTTGGGCTGCTGACCTATGAAAAGAAATATGCCCTGTTCACAGATGGATCGTGTCGTATTGTGGGAAAGCATCGCAGATGGAAATCTGCTGTGTGGAGCCCCACACAACAAGTTGCAGAGGCCACTGAAGGGAAAGGAGAATCAAGCCAATTGGGTGGCATTGCTAGGGACTCCGCCATTGACAGAGGTATTAGTACATGCCAGAACCAGGCTTTCACCCTCTGGAAGAGGATGCTGTTAGCTGTAAGAGAAAGTTACCCCTTCAAAGACGATCTGATGCCCGTGAAGAAGAAATGGGCTGATATGGAGGAAGGCATCCGTTATTTGAGAGAATGTGCTGTGGTGGAAACACTACATAGCCCTGATTTCATTCCTGATGAGCCAAATCAAGAGCATGATCCTGAGAGGGCCAGGTGTACACCAAATATGTGGCGTACATTCACAAAGACTGCACCAGAAAGGTGCGTCATGTAGATGCTCATGTGCCCAAGAGTAGAGCTACAGAAGATCAGCGAAATAACCATCAGGTAGACCAAGCTGCCAGAATTGAGGTGGCTCAAATAGACCTGGACTGGCAGAACAAGGGTGAATTATTTCTAGCTCGGTGGGCCCATGAGACCTCAGGTCATCAAGGGAGAGACGCAACATACAAATGGGCCAGAGACCGAGGGGTGGACTTAACTATGGATGCCATTGTACAAATCATTCATGACTGTGATACATGCGCCACAATTAAACAAGCTAAGAGGATGAAACCTCTCTGGGAGGAAGGGCGATGGCAAAAGTACAAATATGGGGAGGCATGGCAGGTTGATTATATCACCTTGCCACGATCTCGCAATGGTAAGCATTATGTGCTCACCATGGTGGAGGCAACAACCGGGTGGCTTGAAACATATGCAGTACCCCATGCTACCGCCCGAAACACCATATTAGGTCTGGAGAGGCAAATCCTGTGGCGACATCTAATAATAGATTTTAGGTTTCTTTTTTTTCTTTTTTTTTTTTTTTTTCACATTACATATATTACTTGCCCTGTTCCCAAGGCATTTCAGATGAGAGTAGAGAATTTTCTCTACAATTTTTCTTAATTTTAATTTTCTCATCTCTCTCTTTCTCTTGCCATTCACCTCTTATTAACTAGCCATATTTCTTACAAGCTCATACAAATTTTGCAGTGCTAGTTCACTGTCCACAATCTGGATTTTTCCTTCTACTTGTCCATTTTCTAGTAACTGCGCTAGTCAAAAGTACCATAATTGATTTCTTCATTTCTCCTCCTGAGGACAGTAAGAGTAAAGTGCTTCATTGACTTATTATTCAGAAAAATTAGTGTATGTCAGAGTTTCCAATAGATTTAAGTTTGGTAATGTTCAGAAAGAGTTAGTAATTTTTTAATATTTTAAGATAAAAGGAGGGAAAGGCAGAAAGGGAAAGGGACAGGGAAAGGGAAAGGGAAGGGGAAGGGGAAGGCAGAAAGGGAAAGGGAGAGGAAAAGGGAGAGGGAAAGGCAGGGGAAAGAGAGGGAAAGAGAGGGAAAAGGGAAGGGAAAGGGAAAGGAAAGACATGGATAGGCAGAGAGTTGGGCAGAGAGGAACATTATGAGGTTCAAGAAGAGCAAGCACAGAGTCCTACCTCTAGGGAGGAATAACTGCATGCATCAGTACAGTTTAGGGGCTGTTAGTATAACAATCCTTAAATTACAATCAAACAAACTTGGAATGAAAGCACAAACTACATTAAAAAATGAAAAATAGTTGGGGAAAAAAAAATTCAGCTTGCTACTGAATTTATCACAGAAATAGGAAACAGGATAAACAGTTTTGGACGCTAAAATTTACATTAATCGAAGCAAAGTTGTCCGCTGCCAGCAAAATAAAGGCATTTCTTTGATCACAGACTAGGATAAACACCACAACCATTTCTTACTTTGCCATCTTGAGGACTAAACTGTTTTGAAGAGCATACAGAAGGAAAAGTTTAACAGACACTTGTGTCTGCAAAGTTTGAGAACCGGGTAAAAACAGTTTGCCTTGTATTGTTTGCTGAGAAATCATTTTCAGCTGTTTAAAGATGGTCACAAGAGGAACTTAACCAACAGGTAATTTGAATTAGATTTAAGCTAACTTATGCTAGAATAGGTAATTCCTGAATGTGCTCTAGCTACAAAAACTGTCCCATATTTTTTTCCATCCTTTTTTTCTTTCTTAAATATTTTTTATTGTTTTCCTTTTAACTAAATGGAACAGTTACAAACCAGCTACAACATTTTGGAGTGGGGAGAGGTGAAGATAGATTTCACTGTTAAATTGACATTAATGTTTGTTCCTGCTTCTCAGAGAAGTTCAACCTATTTACAAGAAAGCAGAAAAGGGCTAATAACTCTATATATGAAAAAACAAACGAACAAACAAACAAACAAAACCTGATCTTCCTTTAAGAATTGGCTTTTAATTCAGGCTTCTTGTGAGTCTGAGACCTCTGAGGACAGATATCCCACTCCTCTCTTTGTCACATGCAACACTGAAGACAGGCAATTTGTAGCCTGCATAGTACCTGGAGTATTGCTTTCAGCTTGCTGGCTACCCATCTTCATAATAATCTTGTATGCAAAGTAATGGTAGAGAGAGGTGTTCTCAAAAGAAGATTAATTATTCTTTGGTTAATTGTAAGTATTTTCCCGGATGTCATTTAATGCTATTTTCCTTGTCATGGTCCCTGAATGCTGTAAAGGAATCACAGAATTGTAAGTGCTGGAAGGGACCTCCAGAGATCAAGTCCAGCCACCCTGCAAAGCAGGCCCCCTACAGCAGGCGAGGCAGTGGGCAAGGAAGTCATGTCCACTTTTTTTCTTCATCTATTCCACTGTATGTAATAAGAAATGAAGATTTTAGATGTCTCCAATCACTATATTTCAGCTTTAATCATCACCTCACAAAAGAAGAAATTTTAAATAAATTCTGAAGAAGAGTAACAAGAAGTTCTATTTAAAGGTTTTTACTGATGAGAAGTAGTTTGATGAGAAGTAGTTATTAAGCAAATTGAGCCAGAGTGTTTTTTATCACCTCCTGTAGTCAGAGGTCAGCACATAGCAAAATATTTTTTAAATTCTTTACACTTTTATTAAAGAAATTACAATCTTCCAAAATTAAAACAAATATTTTTTTAAAAAATCAATCAAATAATTTAGCTATACAAAGTTATAGCATACATTTTTTTAAGCATCTCATTCCAGCATTCTAGTCTTATATTTTTAAAATGTAGGGAAGGAGTCATGGGACTCATAAAAATAATTCTGTTATTTGGTTACTCAATTAAATGCTTCATCAAAGATCAGTTTTTTAGGAAGAACACAAAGAAGATGCTGTTTAAATTTTAGAGGGGCCAGTTGCTCCACTGTTCAGCTTCACAGTCTTCATGAAAGTGCAGCAGGACTGTGTTTGAGCTAACACATTTACACCCTTCATTAAAAAGAAAATTCAATCTAGAAAAAGTAGCAGAATTAAATTTAATCCTAGTTTTACAGTTCACAAAAAGAATAAAGCATAAATTATAGCCTAAGAGAATGAAACTAATCCAAAACTGTTGTAAGGCTGCCATTTATTCCAGCAAAGTCTAATCACCCCAAGTCTCTTGGCATTTTATGGATGCAATTGCTTTTCACTAACATATATAAAACAGCAATAGCCAGATGTGCATTCTTTAGCACTTCCTAATCTGCTGACCCCTGAGCATCTCCAGCCACCTCTCAACACTTTATGGAAACATCATTTTGGTATTCTACTTCATCATCAAGCACAGTATTACAAATCTCTTATCCTGAGAAGTAGGTGAGGAGCCCCGTGGCCCTAGTTTACATTTTGAGTTGACTTAATGTCCCATCATGGATGTGAAGTGGAAAAGCATCTCCTTGAGAAGTTAACAAGTTCATGGTTTAATTCAAGTCAGTTTCCATGCTAATTTGTGCTCTTTTTGCAGTAAGGAGATACTGGCACACCTTTTCTTGCATGCCATGCTATAATTGAACTCTCTAAACTTCACCTCTTTATTTTCACACATACAAGAACATACTAAGTCCTGGGACATCCACATTCGCATCCATTGAACTTTGCTCGAGACTGTAGTCCTTGCCTTCCCATGACACATCTCTAGGTAAAGTGCATCCTTGCCCATTATGCTCTGGATCTGCAGGATTTTTCAGGCTGTGCTGAGTGCTATTGGAGGTGTTTTGCCCCCATGGGGCCCTTGGTTGTCTTTTTTTTTTTTTTTTTTTTGGCTTTCTACATTTTTGTCCCCTAGTCCTTTTTTTTAACTTGTCATCCAACTGTAATTATTAGTTTTTCTCCTTCTGTAATCTACGCTCTGCTTTTTTGTTGTTTTGTTTTTTAAAATTAAGTTTTCAAAAGATGGTTTAGCTTCTGTGTGATTGTGAAAATCAAAAAAAAACCGTGGTCATGAGGAGAAGGGGCACTCTCCCTGCAGACATTTCATCTGTGGCAGTGAGAGAGTACAGCAGGATCAGCCGTTCTGCATCTGCATCACATTCTACACCAGAGATGGGCATCATCTCCTGCCGGAGAAGGAAATCATGGCCATTTCTGATGCCAACGCACTGCACTGACAGTACCACCACTGTAGTCTGTGAAGTGTGAGGTTACAGAAGGGCACCACTGCCCATCCCAGCAGCTAGTCCCAGAGCCCACATGAGCTCAAGGCTGAGATGGGACCAGAAGCTGGTCCTGAGATGGGGGCAGGCAAATTTGGGATGATTTGTTGCATACTGATAAATGTAATCTGTTAACACTCTAGGAGAGTCTGGGAAGCAGTGTTACAAATTTCATATAATATTTGTACACAAGAAGACCCCTAAATAATCTCGCTTTCAGGTGGTGAAGATTCCAGACAGAAGACGCACACCTCTCGCAGCAAGCACAAGTGATGCTGAGAGACACTTCTGTGACAAGAAGTCATGAAATTAAGCAAGTTTAGAAAAGAGATGTACACAATGTATGCTATACTTTTTTTCCTTGTAGCTTCAGTTTGTAGGCAATGATTGCTCAAATTTTGTTTCTACTGTACCAGTTACTGCTAACTGAACTCTGTATGTTTAATTGACTAGGTTGAATCTCCACATAAACAGTAAGTGTTAAATACTCTGTGGAAAACAACATATCTTTTTTTTTTTTTTTTTTTATCTTAACTCATGTAGGAACATTGTAAATAACTGTAAATATTTATAAGCCTCTTCTTTTGTTCAATCAGTGTATGGAGTTATATATAGTTCTCTGGTAGTAGGGAGTAAAAAGTAGGAAATACTTCAGTGATCACATATTGCAATGTACTTGGAGCATTAGCTGTGAAAGAAGAGATCACTGCAAATCCATTATTGCCTATCAGACCAAAATTTGTACCAGATTGTAATGGAACCTTATATCCATATCACAGCTACCAACAACTTGCATCTTCTTTTGCCTATCTGGAAACTGCACTGTCCCCTGCCAGGCCTCTCCTCCTCATCACCTTTAAGCTCTTTTCCAACCTGAGCAATTCTATGATTCTATGATCACCTCTTAGCTGCAGGATGCTGCCATCTCTACCCATTTGCCAACATAATTGTCTGCACAGTTTCCCTCATATCTGAATGATACAGCTTAGTAACTTGCCACAAATCAGTGCAACAATGAGAAGAAAAAAAAACAACAAAACATTCACACCAATACCTCCTCTTCAGTTCAAGAGAAATTTCTCTTGTACAAAACAGTATAACTGAATCCAATTCAAATTCCACTCAGAGCCATTCCAATTTCACTTATTTGGTCCCCTGGGATAAAAGACACTGTTTTCTGAAGCCAGTGGCCATTTTTCCTGACTGTTTTGTTTTGTTTTTGTCAGTAACTGAAAACATAACTACAGAAGTTAAAGAAACGAAGTTACTAAATTCTTCATAAATCCATTTCTGATACTTGCATGTAATATGTACTTCAAATTAGTAGAGGAATGTATTTATCAAGACCTTATATGATCACATCACACCATCTGTAGCTGTCTGGTAGGATATGCAATTCTAAATGCGTCCAGCACAAATAGATTCAGCTTTATTGCTTCCAGAATTTTTATTGATTTTAAAAGAAGAATATAAAACAATATGGAAACGGAAAAAAAAAAAAAAAAGGAGAAAAAAACTTCAAAGCTATATAAAAAATAAATGAAAAAAGACTTAAATATCAAACTCATTCTCATTATACTTCACTAGAGATACGATCTCCTCTTCAAATAGCTTCTTCCCATTTTGAATAATATACCACATTCATACTTTTTAAACAGTAGAAACAGAGCAGAAACAAAAATGCAAGGTTTGCTTGGCTCTCTGAGGACAATTTTTGACATATTCTTTAACTGAGATAATCAAGGCATTACAGGCATTCACTTTAAAGCACATTTTGCATGCTTCTCTTCAAGAAAACAATCAATTTTCATGTATTATAGGCTTTAAAGAGAAGTATTTTAGATTCTGATTTAAATACCACTGAAATTGATGGCCACTGAAGAGTAGTGTTAGATAACTAGTAAAAATAAAAAATCACATGATTTATTGCACTGGCTAAGAAAAAGAAAAATTACAGCTAAACTATATTTAAAAAAAAAAAAAAAAGGATTTAAAGTTTTGAAGAAACTTTATTATAAGTCTGAAGGCACATTATTAAACTTCAAGCCTTTACCTTATGCACCATAACACAATCCAACAAAAGCAAAAGGGGTACTTCCTATGAAGAAGGAATTTGACATTTTCATTTCTGGCTAAATAAAAGTGGTTAAATAAGACAGGATAATTTAATTTAGTTTAAGGTTGCCAAATTACAATACAAGATTTAGCATTTTTTGGCATGAAGAATGGTCTAACTCATAATAGCTACTCATTTGTTATAAATCCCTAATGTATTCATTTAAATTAATTGGGAAGAAAAGTTTGGGGTCCAGCTCTTTGTTTCTTCCTAATATGAGAAGCAGTAGAGATGGAGATGTTTCCTTCTGGTTTTGTTTCTCCCTATCCTCATTTTTCTGTAAGCTCCAGAGAAGACAAAATGGACTTTCTGAATCAAAAGTTCAGTAGTGACAACTCCAGTAGAACAGTTTAATGTCTCAAAGTTCTCAGAGGCTGAACCAGTTCAGATGATCACCTCGGGTAACCTGCTGTTCTTTTAAGGCACAAAGACACACACACACACTTTCTCAGTAGAAAGAAATAAATCTATTAAAAATACACCTGTGTTTGACTCAGTTTAAACTGCTCACTGCCTGTTGACATATCACTGTGGCTTGGCACTGATCACATTTAGAACCTAAAACCTTCCTCTAACAAATAAAATTTTAATATATATATATATCCCAGAGATGCCGAAAACAGGGCTAAGCCCCAGTTCCTGCTTCTGGCACCCTGGAAGATGGAGCCACATGCACACCCTTTTGCAGAAACCTTTTAACTTAAGTTGATATCAGACATGCCATCAGTCAGAGGGAAGGAGACTTATGGGCAACTCACAGGTGGAACTAAGGGGACTGAAACCCAAAGGTACTTAGTCAGAGGAGTGTCTTACCTTTCTTGTCAGCTTGGGCTAGCCAAACAGACAGCCCAGCTTTCCTACCTGTCAGCGCTGAGGGCAGTCAGTGTGAAGACAGAGACACCTACGGAGGTGAGCTGGATGGCAGGGATGAGCTTGCAGCCCACCTCCCCAAAGAGCCACTCCTCAGAGAAGTAGCGGGAGGCATCCACTGGCACACAGGTCACCAGCAGGAGCAGGTCACCAGCAGCCAGGCTGGAGATGAAGATATTGGGCACACTTCTCATAGCACTGTTGGAGATGAAGATCTTCATAAGGGTGATGTTTCCCAGCAAGCCCACAGTGATGATGAGCAGGTAAAGCGAAGGGATCACACAGCGGACAGTGAACATGGCCATGCCCCATGCCGGAGGGAGCAGGGTTGTGTCTGGCACCAGCTGGATGCTTCCATTGCCCCCGAGGGGCAGTGCTGTGAGCTCAGGCAGCAGCTCTGCCTCCATCCTCGACCTCTGGGAAGACTGGAGGGTTCCAGTGTAAAGTGCGGTGGGAGACATTAAAAATCTTCACGCCTCTGCAAGTCAAACAACTTTATCCCCTGTCCTTTCCGCCTTTCTTCCTCCCTCCTTCTCTCCATTGAGTTGCAGAGATCACACCGTTCTCGGGCACAGAAGAGAGAAAGAACAAGAACAACAACAACAACAACAAAAGAAGACAATATGTGCCACTCCCCCCCAGCTCTTTTGACAAGCTCTTCTCCGGGAAGACAAGAGGATGAGATCCTGGGGCTCAGCAGCAGCAACGACAGCAGCCTGCCCTGCACGGAGCGCCTCGAGCCGCTGCAGCCGGCGGAGGCGCGGAGCAGTCGCCTCCCGCGCCCGCGGTGGAGCTGTCCAGCGGCGCTGGTGCTGCTCGCTCCGCGGGTGGTGTCGGAGCCGCGAGCAAAGCGCGGAACGAGCCCGCTTCTTATTCCGCAGCCCCAGCTATACCTGATGCTGGGAGGAGCCTCCCCGCCCTCCGCCCGCGTTTGTGCGCTCTCCCCTTCCCGGAGACGCCAAGGCGGACGTTGTAAGGAGGTCAGCCGTCCTCAAGGCACGGATCTTCCCAACTCACCCTGCTGAAACCACAGCACTTTGAAACACAGAGTGACAGGAGCACTTGGAGATGAAGGGATTTTATTCTTTCGTCCAGCTGCAGGTTATGAAAAGATCCTACTGAGAGCCATCTGCTGTTTTTAAAGTTTTAGGATTTACTTTGCAAAGTTGTATTTCACATTCCTTCAAATAGGGAAATGAGAGATAGGTGATGTATTTTACCCATCATTTACTATGCAAACAGTATATCCGAATGAAGAATGTTTGCCTCTATTAAGTGTACAGTATTTGCCCAAAGTGTCTCTTGCTTTTCATTGAGGAAGTGTCTATTACTTCTTTGGGCATACACATGGATTGGCTCTCCAAACAGTTCCATCTGTTTCCAGCAGAAGCTATGAGTTTAGGTAACTATGCTGCAAGACAGGACTCAAGTTTTCACGACACAAATGAATAATAGCATTTGACAGTAACATCCTGATGAACTGATTATTCTCCTTCCTCTTCTCAGAAAGGAGGATGTATGGAAGACTGCAGAGACCTTGCTTTCTCTCTTTAGTAAAATAGTTATCCTGAAACACTATGGGTTTGTAAGAAGAGCATGGAGAAAGATCATGAATGGATGGAGATCTTATTGAAGTGGCAGAATGAGTTTGGCCACTGAAATGCCAACTGCAAAAGGTGTGATCTGTGCAGTAATATAAGGCCTATCCATGGCATATTGTCTAGTGTAGGAACCAAATTTTAGAAATATCAATGATTTAACTAAAATCTCCTTTCAGTAAGATTATCAGAAGTATTTCTTCTTCTGGAAAGTTACAGCTGTCTATATCTGTCGATCCTTGTGATATTTCTAACTTCCTATTATAAGTATTACAATTGTGTAAATGGATATTTAATGTAATGTTGATTCGTTTCTTAGAAGGTACAGGAATTTCTGCTTTCCTCCACACTGTGTTAAATTCACCTACGCTCCCTCTGAGGCAGCCTTACTGTCAACTTGGAAATGTCACAGTTCCTGGTATTTTCTACTATGTTGAGTGCACAGTAACTTTTCTAGAACCATCACTATTCATGTTCCTGCAAACAGCCTGAATCATTCTTTTTGGTTCCCCTTGCATGCACATAGTCCATGTCTTTAGCCCTGTAAGCCTTAATATGAGCGGTGGTCCTTTCACTTATTTGTTCAGAAATTGCTTTATATGTGAGCAATCAATATGATTCTTTAAATATGCTAGTTTAAATTTAACATCTTTAATTTCAATTTAACCAAGGCACCAAAGCCTGAATCTTTTTGCATGAATATTAACAGAAGAAAATTTTAGAAGCTTCTGTTGGCATGAACTTCACTTACAGCTTCCACTGGGAGAAGTGAGAACCCTTGGATTTTGATGCTCTACAATTAGACTCCCACTGCTGCTCTCCAGAAGAATTTCTCCTACCCTAGTACACTTTACTTTTCCTGCAGACCAAAAGATGGAATTCCTAATGTGACAGAATTAGGATCATATTCAGTGGGAATTTATGTTACTGGCATTCAACAGCATTTGATTTTATCTACTCTGTATTTGAAGCCAAACAGCAAGGAAATAAGCTTTTGCGACTGTGAGTGTCTCCAGCTCAAAGGAAACAGAAAGTTAGATTATGCTTCTAATGTCATTCAGCGGAAGTCTGTGTAAAGGCAAGAGAATATACTCATACAGCATGAATATAATTTCCTGCAGAGGCAAAAAAGAGAGGGAAATGCTCCACAGACCCTGACATAAAACAGCCAGAATTCAGATCCTCGCATGCAGATTGTTCATCATTCTCTTTTCAAACAAAAGAAAAAATATAATCTCTTGGTCTGATATTTGAGATTATAGTCTAGAGCTAATCTCATATTCCTGCTATGATCCAAAACTTGGCATGAGAGCAAAGGAGAAAGGGAGCAGGATAGGTATGCCTGCTTAGTAGGAAAGAAACTGCACAAACTGAAATCAAGCAGTGCAGAGGGAGCATATCTGTGATACCGCAGGGCAGAGACAGCAACAGCTGGGAGATGTGGGAGGCAAATTCGCCTTATCAGTAATTCCCAAATGTAGGGAATCTCTCTTCATCTCACAAATCTCTCTACTGAGAGATTTTTGTGCTTCTAGCACAAAAAAGGTCTCCCTTCACACCTATTTGGGCAGAATGAGGTACTCAATAATCCCAGGGCTATTTTCAGACTTGCACATCACAAAAATTTTACAAGTCCATACACTAAACCAGCAGATATAGTTGGAAAAAGTGTACATGTGGCACAGAGTGATTTCTCCTAAACTGCTGAATGTCTAATAATCGTAAGTAAGTCATGTCTTCTTTATTGTTACTTGAATTCAGTCCTTCTTAATTTGAGCTTGTTTTGGCAGGGATTTCCATTATCTTCCAGCTTCTTGAGTCAGAGGCTTTACTTAAAAAGCAAGAGCCCAGCACTTGAAGGGCAGAAATAAATTACTAGGTTTCTCTCCAGGTTTCAAAACAGATAATGGTTTGATAGTGCTGCTATATGTGCAGCAGAAATGGTGTTCAAGCAGTGACTGGGAATTGTAGCCAGAAAAAGGAAAAAGGAGAGGATGGAGGTAAGGAATCTCTGTCCAGATACAAAACACTCTTGAAGAAGTTTAGCTTCTAAGGCTACAGCTCTAAGGCCAGACCTCAAACTCTAAGTTGGGGCATCTAAACATCAAGCACCTACTACTCTTTTACTGGTAAAATAATAATGAATGTTAATTATCTCACAGGCAATGCCAATAGTTTCCCTGGGAAAACTACTGTGGGAAGTACTCTAAAAAGAATTGTTGTGGATTTGTGTAGAGAATGCTAGAAATGTCATGAGCTAGCAAACTGGGTATGTTGAAAAGAGAAATGCTGAATTCAACTGTGGCTGCCCAGAGACAAGCTCTAAGCACCAGCTAATTAGTAGAAAAAATGTCAGATATGTGCCATGCAGCCCTTTTTCCTTCTGAGAATCCAGTTAACAGAAGAAGTAACTATACTGTTTTATCAGAGCCAAGCTGTGTCTGTCAGCAGTACTCTGTACAGGGGGCACAGGGCTACAGGCAAGACTGAAACGGTCACAAATATGAAAACTTCTCTTCATTAAGGTTAAGTGATTGAACATGGTGACTATAGAAAAGAAAGCTAGAGAGAGATTCTTCGTGCTTATTTCTTAACTTTGCAAAATTCACCTTTTAAATTACATGGATTTCTGAATAATTAAAAAATTGTGATGAAGAAGCTTAATATATGACACACATCTCCCAGATTGAGTGCCATGTCTGAGGCCTGCATAAACCTAGGCTCTCTTTTGCCTGTCCGTGTCAGCTTCCAGCCATTGCATCCTGACAAGTTCCATAAGAAGCATGTTCTCCTATCCACTCCTCTGTGCTAAACATAAGCCAGTCGGGAGGAAACAAGGAAGCCACCATGAGCCTCCTGCTCTAGCTGAATGTGAAGCAACCTCCATCTCTGGTCAGAATTCCATTGAGCACCAACCTCTGGCTAGCAGAGTTCCCCATTGCTGCTAAGCTTTGCGTGAAGAACCCTGTAAACTGACAGAAGAGGCTATTTCCCGTCATATAAGCATTCAAGTTCTTCTTTGATAGATAAAATCTTAATGGCACCAATTTATTTTCATCTGAGATAAGGCTTCTTTCATTGTGTCTGTTATCTAATAATGACACTATGTGCCATTACATTTAAATTCACTAATAAAGCAGCGAACTGAGTGCTTAACGTTGAAGTGACAGTTCATCCCTATACAGCAGAACTCTAAGCAATAGAGTATCTTTAAGCAAGCATTGTGTTTCTATTTGCTTAACTGTGATTATTCAATAGAACTTACATCCATTAAAAGGTTAAACAACACCAGGTAAGGTGACAAGTTGAAGTCTCAGTTGGGAACAAGTCTGATATCAACGTCTTCTGCCTTATTTGTGTGTAATAGACAACCAACAGACAGCTGCTCCTGCAAATTCAAAACAAAGAATGATTTTCTGTCAAGCAAGTTCCAAACAACTGCTGGAGCTGCCTTAGCAGACTGCATTCAGACTCACAGTGCCAGCTTATACTACTCACATTTCAAATCATCCTCTTAATGTTGCTTTCAGTTGCTCCTAGCAGGATGATGAGCTTTCTGTGCTTCAGTTCATAGGGTATGCATTTGAACCACTTCTAAGAAACCAACAGTTTTATAACAGACTCATTCATCATCACATTCAGTGGGGTCTGAGCGCAGACATCCATATGTTTGTATTGGGATTAATTCACAGCCCCTCCAAACTTCATTTTTTATTCAGTTCAGCTGCAGCATAGGAAGTTCCGCACAAACATGCGCAAGAACTTCTTTACAGTGAGGTGACGGAGCACTGGAACAGGCTGCCCAGGGAGGTGGTGGAGTCTCCTTCTCTGGAGATGTTCAAGACCTGCCTGGATGCCTACCTGTGCGACCTGCTGTAGGGAACCTGCTTTGGCAGGGGGGTTGGACTC